AAACCATTTCAGGTGACTACCTCTTGAAGCTCATGGAGAGAATGCCAAGAGTGTGCAAAGCAGTAATCAGAGCAAAGGGTGGCTATTTTGAAGAAACTAGAATATAAAACATGTTTTCAGTTATTTCACCTTTTTTTGTTAAGTACATAACTCCACATGTGTTCATTCATAGTTTTGATGCCTTCAGTGAGAATCTACAATGTAAATAGTCGTGAAAATAAAGAAAACGCATTGAATGAGAAGGTGTGTCCAAACTTTTGGCCTGTACTGTATGTCACAAGGATATGAATAGTGAATGTATCAACCAATTGTGTGATCAAGACAAGTCTTTATATAGTGTTTTGATAACTGGAATGGCTTGTAAGCTTTTGGGTCTACAACATCCTGTGCCTCTTGGAATCCTTGGTATGTTCCCGTTGGTGAGGGATATCTTCTACGAATAGCACTGACGACACACGATGGCAAAGGTTTACGATTGCCTTTCCCCAGCGTTTCTCCCTTCAGGGCCCACTCCAAAACAATGCGGTAGGACACCAACCTGTATTGTCTGAGAAACAAGAATTTTTTTAATCAATAACCACAAATACATAAACGACTGTAACTTTTTACTAGACTAACTGTTTATACAGCTTGCAATATACAACAATATGTGCCCCATGCATCTTTATTATAGTTATAATGATTATATTATAATTTATAATAAGATTATAATAGTCACTTACTCTACGGACAACTGTCCGTTAGGTCCAGACGGCCTGGGGCGTTTTTTCCAGTTTATTTTGGGTAGATGGAAAAAAGTTTCAACAACTGCAGGATTTACTAAAGCTGGAAAAGCATCATTCGTTGTGACACAATCTCTTTGTGTACTGTCCTCTTCGCCAGATATATCAAGCCTCCCCATCGATGGCAGCACCAACTCCCACTCAGTACAGCAGAAGCACTCGTTTTCTGTCGGCATAGGTTGACAAGCCCCACATCTACACCACCAGTCCATGCCGATTCTGACTCTCTCCTCGGCCCCAGGCTGTTCGACTGTCTCAGCTTCTCTTCGTGCACGCTCAGCTTCCAAAACATGTAGTTCCTCCTCTGTATATTCTGGTTCAAATAGGTAAGGTTGTGGATCTTCGTCAGTCCCGAAAAAATCATCTTCGTCCTCTCTTACAAAGTCGGCCATAATCCGTAGTTGCAATCTTCTTCTTCTCCTAAACAGAGGCTTTGTTCTGTTTACCTACTTCCAAGCACGTCCGCGGTGGTTTGCGCATGCGCAAAAACTGCAGTTTAGTTTCCTATGTCCTTCTTTCAAAACTTATATAAAGTGCTAATCTTAGTCTAACAATAGATAACGTAACATAACGCGGTAAAAACGAGTCACAACAAGCACAAAGGACCGTTTAGAGTTGCTGAAGAGTTTATCTGATGACTGCAGGCAGAGGCAGGCTAACAATACCCATTGACTCCAAGCATTTGAGCTAAGCTAATTAGCGGTGGGCGAGCTCTGCCCGGCTCTCCCTTTTTACTGCACGTATAGCCGAAAGAATGGTATCTACCTGCTTGTCATGGACTCGGGTGTGAGGCAAGACACGCAAACAAAAAAAATGTTGGCGTATCCCTTTAAGTTCGCTTGATTAAAATCACCAGCAACAATGTGTACACCATCGGGGTGAGCTTGCTGTAATGTTTTTATGGTGTGTGACAACAGCGAGAGAGCTATGCTAGTGTTAGCATCGGGTGGTATGTACACAGCTGTGATTAGCACGACTGTTAGCTCTCTGAGCAAGAAAAATGGACGGCATTTAACAGAGATGGATTTCAGTCAGGCCCTGCAGTTTGTGTGTGTGCGTTTATGTGGGAGGGGAGTCAGAGAGACAGGAGAAAAAGATCTGCAGAGAGAATGTTAAAGAAGAAGGAGAAAAACAGAGTTAAACAAAATATTCAGAATTGGAGTTAATTGAGGGAGAAGTAAAAGACTGCAAGCGGCTAAATGCAATTTATAGGTTCAGAAGGGCAGACAGAAGAAACATCAAGTGAGGGGGGGCTAAAAATAGCACACTGTAGACGAAATGAACAAAGTTCACAGAGGAAGAAAAAAAATCATTGCTTTGATTTTAACAGGAGCTGTCAGTGTCGTGTACATCATTTAGCTACAGTCCCTGCAAGCCACATAAAGAAACTCCATCACACAACATCATCCCTTCTGTCCTCATCTTTTGCACCAGTCCTAAATATACTGCTTAATAAAGCAGGAATGTATCACAAAATAAACCAGAGAAGGTGCAGTTCCCAAACAGAGACAGCTGGTTCATACTCTCGGGCTGAGTGCGTTGGAACCTGATGTGACTCTATACTCCAAGTTGCTTTTTGACTGTGGAACCGCAGATGCTCGTTCACAATCAATTCAGATTGTTGCACCAAAGGAGCTTTCAGTGTTCAAAAAAGACAGCTTGTCAGAAAATGAGAAAATGACTTGAATATCCTGATGAAGCACATGGATTTTTAAAGAAGATGTAGTATTTACACATGCACTAAGACCATTAGCAGATCCTGTGTTAAGAAGCAGCGTCAAGATGAAAGCAAAAGTCAACATGAATGATTTCATAACATACACTGACAGGAAATATAAAGCTGCCCTGAGTTAATCAAGAAATCATTTTCTGCATGCTTGACATCAAAACAAACTGATGTGTAATGTTGAGTGTATTTGCAAAATGTATATTGTCTATGAAATAATTAGTTTTAATAACAGTATTTGCTCCTACCAACTATGTAGTGATGGCCTGTGGAAAGAAGCTGTCTCTGAGCCTGTTTGCCAGAGGACAGCAGGACAAACAGGTGTGAAGCAGGGTGGGTGCTGTCTCTGATGATTCCCTCAGCTCTGCTGAGGCAGCGGGATGTATAAATATCTTTCAGAGAGGGGAGGGGGCAGCCTATGATCTTCTGCACCGTCTTGACCACTCTCTGGAGCCTCTTTCGGTCTTGCCTCGGTGCAGTGCGCAAACCATACTGAGATGCAGTATGTTAAAATACTCTCAATGGTTGAGCAGTAGAAGGTCACCAGCAACTTCTCAGTGACGTTGTTCTTCCTGAGCACTCTCAAGAAGTGTAGATGCTGCTGTGCCATCTTGATGACAGCCGTGGTGTTTGCAGTCCAGGGGAGGTCCGCAAAGATCGTGGTGCCCAGCAAAGTGAAGGTGTGGACCCTCTCTACACAGTCGCCATTGAAAATGTATATTGTCAATGAAATAATTAGTTTTAATAACAGTATTTGCTCCTACCAACTAAAGCATGATGTTAGCCATGCTTTAGTGGCTAACATCCATTAAAGTTCACCTTCACAACAGTCTCAAATGGCAATGTAACACAGAGGCTGTTTACAGGAAAGGGCTGAAAAGCTCTACTTCCTGAGGAAACTCAGGTAATGTGTGCAACAAAATTTTGCAGATCTTTTACCAGTCTGTTGTTGCAAGCATGGTTTCCTTTGCTGCAATGTGCTGGAGCAGTAGCATCAGAGCCAGCCACCAAAACAGACTGAATAATCTTACAACCTCCTGGTGAAACAGCAAGCACTTTCAGTATTAGACTGATCCAAGGACAGCTACAGGAGGTCCTTTCTGCCAGCTGTCATCTCCCTGTGCCAGTCAACCTGTTACCTACCTACCTGCCTACCTAGCTACCCACCTACCTAGCTTCCTGCCCACCTCCCTACCTACTTATCGTTCTTCCTGGCCACCTACCTCCACATCTACCTACCCATCCACTTACCTACTTACCCACCCACCCACTTACCTACCTACCTACCTTGCTTAACTTTTCGTAGCCTAAACCTAAGATGCAGACTGTGAACCCTGAAATTACATTTTCTCCAAAACATTTTTGGTGAAGCAAAATAGTATTATATAAAGAGATTTGTATTTGAGATAATGCTCTCCTTGAGTTGATTTATAACTTTTACATGTGAATAATTTCAGTTCTAATATCACATACATTTTAATTCACACTGCCAGTACTTTGGCTTTGTGGAAGGGTCATAGGAGACTTTATCCACATGGGAAATGTTGACAGCTGTCACTTATCATTAGCCTTAACTGGAGAAGGAGCTTTAAGGTTAAAGTGGAGAAGCAGCTCATGGGAAGGTTAAACTTTGAGTCCAGCTCTGTCCAGAGTAAACAACCTGAAGGTGCCCTTCAACACAGCTCAAAGCTCATTACTCAGTGATTCCTGTAGAGCAATGGGAAGCTGCTGACCAGTTCACAGTGGTAGTAGACTGGTTATACTGGGCAACTCCCAACAGCTCAAGGTATATGGAACTGGTAGTGGTTCTTCCAGGGAGGAATAAAGGCTGAACAGACTTAAAAAATGGCCATGTATTACAAGGTTTGTACAAAACACAGAGAAAATGTGATAAATTGTAAAGAATGTTGATGAGAGTGACAGACACAATGTGGGAGCATTTGTGGGACGCAAATGTTCATGACTGAGCCCTGGCAAAGGTGTTTTACGAGGCTGAAAGCTCCACCAGCAGTACATTAAGGCAAGAGAGCAATGCTGTGTTTATCTAAAATCTCTGTGAAGGATTTGTCCATATAGTTGATAAGCACTTCCTTTAAACAGCGTTCCAGGGATCAATTTGAAATTGAAATCACACACACACACACACACACACACACACACACCTCCGCAACTACATATATGTAACTGACAGTGTCATAATTCACACCTGCCTCACATAACTCAGTGCAGTTGTGTTAGTGCAGAGGGATTCATGGCCACCGGGGTGTGTGCCTGTTTGTGTGTTAGTTGTAAGAGTGAGTGTGAAAGAAACAGAGAGAGAGAGAAGAGAGAGATTAAGATGGCACATTTCATGGCAGAAAAAAGGATTTGATTGCATATGAGCTGACAGTCAGGATACAAATTGTGCCACCAAGGAAGTGACGCATGGATATATGTGTCAACCAAAATCACCAGGAACCAGGGAGGAAACACCATCACATGCAGCCGTCTGCATCGGGAGGTGGCTGCCACGGCAACCCGGCCACCCTCCACTCCACCTGGGGAGAGCGGAGCCCAAGCCAGCGCCACAGAACCAGTGGCCACCCCCCTTGGCGCACACGCTCCCACTGAGGAAACACTGGAGTTAAGAACTAAACTATGATAAATGACATAAAATATTAAGATGTAGGCCTAACATAAAATACATTTGTTATTAGGCTAAATAAATTAAAACATATGGCCTACAGTAGATAAAAGTAGAACATGCTAAAAGTAAATACAATAATAGGCTAAATAGTATCTAAGCAATAATAAATAGTGTCTAAACAATAATAAATTGTACCTAAGTTATCTGTTAGGCTGCCATTCCACTCTGTAAATAGATTTTAAAATTTCAATATAATTTTAATATTATTTTTGCTTACTTCATTATTGTTATTATTGGTTTACTTTTTAGTAGTATTGTATTCTCTGACAATGATTCATTTTAGTAATTACCTACAGTAAAAAAGAAAAAAACAAGCAAAGAAACAAATAAAAATCTTTTTATACACTGGGCCTTCAAAGTGCCCTCTGAAACTAGACCTGGCATGGCTTGTGTCCAAAAAATGAAAAAATCAAAACTTTGTCGTAGAGCTAAACCAAATACATCATTGGAAAGGTCTCAACCTGGAGAGTAACATATGTCAGTATGAAGCTTCTACATAGCTCCTGCTTTCAGCCATTCACCTTTGAACCTTGACCTTGGTGCTGTAGTGTAATATTTACTATAGTGTTCGTACTGTACCTTTAAACTGACCTTTAAAAGATATGTGTTGACGCAATATAATCTGTGCAACTGACAAATTACACACTGGTTTAATATTTCATGTATTCTTATGGCACACACACACTCACTGAGCACTTAAGCATTGTGGTGGAGAAGTACCTAGGACTCACTGTGAATCATTTCTAAAAATAGCATGAGGATGGGTTCAGAAAACACTAGTGGAAAGTTAGGGGAATTGCAGTTTGTCCTGATAATGACCCTAGAGGGGGAAGGACTAAAAAAGTGC